AAGAAGACCAAAATATCCTTTTCATCTACTTATGTTCCATTTAGTTCACATTATTTTCTTATGTTTCAATAAGTCCTATGGGTGACATAATTACCAAAATACCCCTAATGTGAATTTTCACACCGTCAATGTGAATGTTCATATCGTCAATGTGTAGGGGCCTGGCCCATGTCGATCCTCGTGGGTGCCCGAAAAAATTCGAGTCGGGCCGGGCCCGTTGACAATGTGAATATTCACATTGACATGTTAACATTCACATTAATAGGAGTGTAAAATTGGCCCACGTCCCGTGGCGGCGCGAAACTTGCCCGCGGCCCATGGGTGGCCCGGGGCGGGCCCGGTCCGGCCCGTTAACAATGTGAATATTCACATTGACATGTTAACATTTACATTGATAAGAGTATAAAATTGGCCCGCTGCCCGGGGCGGGCCCGGCCTGACCCGTTGACAATGTGAATATTCACATTGACATGTTAACATTCACATTGATAGGAGTGTAAAATTAGTCCGCGCCTCGTGGCTGCCCGAAACCCGCCCACGGCCCGTGGGCGGCCCAAGGCGGGCCCGGCCCGGCCTATTGACAATGTGAATATTCACATTGACATGTTAACATTCACATTGATAAGAGTATAAAATTGGGCAGCGGTCCAAGGCGGGCTCGACCCGGCCCGTTGACAATGTGAATATTCACATTGACATGTTAACATTCACATTGATAAGAGTATAAAATTGGCCCTCGGCCCGGGGCGGGCCCGGCCCGGCCCGTTAACAATATGAATATTCACATTGACATGTTAACATTCACATTGATAGGAGTGTAAAATTAACCCGAGCCTCGTGGCTGCCCGAAACCCGCCCATGGCTCGTGGGTGGCCCGGGGCGGGCCTGGCCATTTTTTTTTAATTCTTTTTAATTTTTTCTACCAAAATTTTATTATTTTCCACAAAAATAGACACTAGGCCTCGGCGCGGGCCGGGCCTCAGACCGAGCCTTAAATGGGCCTTAACCGGGCCAATGGGCCGGGCCGGGCTTCAAAGTGATGGCCCAGGCCCTAGCCTAGGGTCTTGGACTAGGCTCGAGCCTGGGCCCAAACAAGCCTTTCCCAGGCCGGCCCACAGGCCAAAAAATTAGGCCCAGGCTCTAGACCTAGCACAAGGGTAATCGGGGTTTGGACGGGCCGATGGATCGAGCCTCGGGTAAGGCCGGTGGGCCACGGGCCGCGGGCCCATTCTACATTCCTATCAATGTGCATGTTAACATGTCAATGTGAATATTCACATTGTCAACGGGCCGGGCCTACCCCGGGTCGCAGGCAAGCTTCGGACAGCGGGCAAATTTTACACTCCTATCAATGTGAATGTTAACATGTCAATGTGAATATTCACATTGTCAACGGGCTGGGTCGGGCCCGCCCTGGGCCGCTGGCCAATTTTATACTCTTATCAATATGAATGTTAACATGTCAATGTGAATATTCACATTGTCAACAGGCCGGGCCGGGCCCACCCCGCCCCGGGCCCCCCACGGGTCGTGAGCGGGTTTCGGGTAGCCACGAGGCGCGGGCTAATTTTACACTCCTATCAATGTGAATGTTAACATGTCAATGTGAATATTTACATTGTCAACGGGTCGGGCCGGGCCTGTCCAAGTCCGCGGGCAGGCTTTTGGCCGCCCATGGGCCGCGGGCCAATTTTATACTCTTATCAATGTGAATGTTAACATGTCAATGTAAATATTCACATTGTCAACGGGCCGTACTGGGTCCGCCCATGGGCCACGGGCGGGTTTCGCGCCGCCACGTGACACGGGCCAATTTTACACTCCCATTAATGTGAATGTTAACATGTCAATGTGAATATTCACATTGTCAACGGGCCGGGGCCCGTCCTGGCTTACGGGCGAGTTTCGGGCCGCCCATGGGCCAATTTTACATTCCTACCAATGTGAATTTTAAAATATGAATGTTCACATCATAAAATTGCTAACCGTTCAAAAAATATTTATAAGGATATCAAAATTAAATATAAGGGCATAAGTGTCTAAGAAAATAGTGTAAATCAATAAAAAGGATTTTATGGAATAAAACTATACATACATGGAACTAAATGGGTTAAAAAATTCCTTTATGGACTTCTTGGGTTAAAACACTTCTAAATGAGATTTATCAATAAAAATTCTATTATTTTTCAAGGCTTAAATTAAAACTTCCCATGCATTTTATTTTATTTTTTAAATTCAAAATGAGGGGGTATATGTCTGTTAAAATACAAGGATAGATTATAAATATCCCATTTATTTATTTATTTATTTATTATAGATTATAAATATCCCATTTATTTATTTATTTATTTATTACCCTTATTTATTTATTTTTACAACTACTTTATGCATTGTAAATATTATACATAGAGAAATTTATATTTATTTAAAAGCTCTCAAAAACAAGACGGGAAAGTAACTCATTTTGAAAACTAAAATTACCTTGGAAAGGATTAGGCTCTGTTTGGGATGATTGTTTGGGCTAAAATAGTTATATAAGACAAAATAGGCTATTTTAGCTATTTAAGATAAAATGTCACATTCAAGCTATAATCATTTCATTTTTTCTCTTATAAAAGTTAAAAAAGCCAAAAACCCTATTCCAAATAAGACTTTTTAATCTCAAGTTAAAATAGTTAAAAAGTTAAAGAGTCAAAAAAACTAAACCACATCCCAAACGAATTAGAAATTAGAAATCTACCAAATGTTGATGGAAGGCATATGTCGCACTTTGGAAAAGTCTTCTCCTTTTTCCCATTGACCCCTTGAAGCTTGTTGTAAAATGTTTTACTCAAATTGAGTTCGGTTTACAATTTGAACATGAATTCGGTAGGTAATTGAGAGCTTTTGTGTGTATTTCCTTTGTTTTCTTAGTGGATTGGTTCGTGACTTTTAACCCATAGTTTTTTTTTAATCACAATTAAAGGTACTTGAATTGTAATTTTTTTCCACATTATATCGTTGTGTTGATTTGTCATTGCTTGTTAGTAGATATAATTCAATTTTCGTTTAATTGGATTAGATCTATGATTGTTTGATAAGAAATTATTATTCATCATTAAAATTGAATCCTAATTACAAAATACAATCTCGGAGGATTTTAAGATTTTCACTGCCAAAAGACATCAATGCTCCCAGGAGCAAGACTTCCAATCCTTGGATCTCCTAGGCGATTTTGGATTCCATTCATGATGCTGCCAATTCTCTATTTCATTCCAGTCCCTTTGGATAAGCTGGTTCTAGGACCTACTGACCAAATAGGATCTGCATTGTGAAACATTTGGGGCAAGTTGATGACTATACTCCTAGTCAAGTTGTCTCTATTTGCGGCATGGGTGGTTTGGGGAAGACTACTCTAGCTAAAAAAGTATATCATCACAAAGATGTCCATAATCATGTTCATTGTTTTGCATGGGTATGCATATCTCAGCAGTACCAAACAAGAGATATTCTGCAAGGAATCTTCATCAAACTTGTTCCAAAAAGGAAGAAAGAGGTTGTTAGGATGAGAAACAAAGAGTTGTTTGAGCAACTTTATGAAGTCCAGCAGAGGAAAAAATGCTTAGTTGTACTGGATGATATTTGGTCAATAGAGGCTTGGAAGAGCTTGAAACCGGCCTTCCCAAATGGAATCACGGGCAGCAAAATATTGCTAACAACTCGTAATAAAACACTGCCTTTACGAATAGATCCATACCATATCCCCCATGAACCCCAGTGCTTAAATGACGAGGAAAGTTGGGTTCTACTTCAAAAGAAATCATTACTAAGAAGAGATGGCAGAGGTAATATTAATCAGTCCACATTACTATATATTTTGATACAAATTAAATTATTTCAATGTGAGTTTTCATATCATCTATGTGATCTATTATCATCTAAAAAGATTACTAACCCATGGGTTGAAATTTGAGAAAGATGGAAAATACTTTAGCTCTACTGGCCATAGGGTCGTACCAAATGTATTTAAAATATTCATTTACGAAAACTACATAAAATTGAAAATTTTCAAGGGATTACTTTCCAGTGAGAAAGAAAATAGAATTTTACACAAACATGCTTGCACCTCCATACCTTTTCACTTACACCCTATCACATAATCATCAAATATATGGTTTGTGAATGGAAGGTTATTGACTATCCCTTGTTTATGGGGAAATAAATTTTTAAAAACTGAAATTGATTAAATCTTACCTTTGGTTAACTTTGTCACAAGAATGATTCAATGGATTTGATTGTTAAATTGAATTATGCAAGTTTGATTAGTAATTTTACAACTAATAATTTGAGTTTTATACTTGAGATTACGAAAGTTCAAAATTTTTAAATAAAATTTAAATTACCAACCGATTTGATTTTGGGGAAAAAAAAAGTTTAAAAATCAATCCACATTACAAGCTCGTTTTAGAATTATCTATCTTTATATGTATAAAAGCCCCATGATAAAAAACTTGATTTGGGTCTCAAAAAAGTCAGCAAATTTTTCTTTTTTATTGCTTATTCAAGCATGCATTCATTAGAATTTTCATTTTTGTTGTTTTATAGACTCTAGGCAACGATCTATATTTTGTTGTTTTTAAATTTTGCATTTTGTTGTTTTTGTAGACTCTGGAGTGCTTGACACAAATATGGAGGCCTTAGGGAGGAAAATGGTAAAGCTGTGTGCTGGTTTACCATTAGCAATCGTTGTGCGTGGTGGACTTTTGGCAACAAAGCATACATTAAGGGAATGGGAGATGGTATACCAAAATGTTCGTTCATAACAACCCCATACAACATGACAATGGAGTATCAAAGGTGTTAGCTTTAAGCTAGCACGATTTGCCTTATCAATTGAAGCCATGTTTTCTATATTTAGGTCACTTTTCGGAGGATTCTAGGATAGATGCTGAAAGACTATATCACTTGTGGATAGCTGATGGTATAATTGTAGATGATGATAGAGTGGAGGATGAAACAATATGGACGTGGCAAAACGTTACTTGGGTGTGCTTGCACAGAGGTGCATGGTTCAAGTACAAGTAGAGACGTATACTCAAAGGATCAATTATTGTCGCATTCATGATCTCATGCTAGAGCTACGTTTGTCAAAGGTAGAAATAAATGATTTTCTTCGAATCATTTTTCTCCAACGTGAAACTGATCCAGCTAATTGCTTTTCCACCACATCAACAACTACTATTCCAAAAATGCGCAGGCTTGCAATTCATTTGAATAGGGATGTCCAAAGAGTTTTCCTCCCTGACTTGGAGACAACTAATCAGCTAAGATCAATATTGTTCTGCAATCAAGGAGTGTATTTGACAGAGTTGAACTCCCATTTCAAGTACTTCAAATTGCTTAGGAATTTGGATCTTGAAGGATTTTGCTTTGATAAAAAGTTCGTCAAATCAATAGGTGACCTAATTAGCTTGAGGTACTTGAGTTTTAGAAGATGTTTGATACCGAAGTGGCATTCGTCTATCTGCAAGTTGAAATACTTGCAAACCTTGGATTTACGAAATTGCCACTTCAACTCAGGTGAAGTAACAGTCTTACATTGAATGGAACAATTGAGGCATTTGTATATTCAGTTGGATCTCGATGTTAAATTAAAATTTGATGGGTTGAGCAACTTCGAAACATTGGGAGGGTTTGACACACGGTCTTGTGACGTGAATGATCTGTGTAAATTGATCAATCTTCGGCAACTAGAAGATGTAACTTTCTGGAAGAGGATCAATCAGGACTTAGCGGCTTTCATCAACTACCTATTACCAAGTTACCAGAATACTGCCAGGGTTTCTCTCCCAGCCTCATCGAGTTAAAGTTGTCTGGATGTGAACTTGAAGAAGACCCTATGCCAACATTAGAGAGGCTACCTAACCTACAATATCTCTATTTAGGTAGTTCTGACATTGAAGACAAATTGGTTGACTCCGCTGATGGTTTCCCCCAACTCAAAATGGTTTGCTCCGCTAATGGTTTCCTCCAACTCAAAACCCTAGAACTCAATCGTTTTTACAATTTAAACGAGTGGGAGGTGGAAAAAGGAGCCATGCCCAATCTCTCTTCTTTAGAAATTGAATGTTGCCCAGGACTAGAAATGGTTCCAGAGGGACTGAGATTCGTTGCTACCCTCCAACGATTTACAATTAGGGCTATGAGCCAAAATTTCAAGAACAAGCTTCGAAGGGTCAATGGTGAAGGAGAAGATTTTTACAAAGTGCGACATGTGTCCTACCTCAACATTCTCTAAATTTCTTAATTCTGCCTGGATAATCCTTTCTTTCACAAGAGACGAAACAACTGTTGGGTCTCTCATCATTTCTTTCACATCCCCCTCATTAATTCTCATCATGACATATGTTGATATATATATATATGGAAAATGTCTCGTAACTCAAATTTTGTTACTCAAAAGTGGCTCAAATAGCCAAAACGACGTCGTTTTGGCCATTTTTATGTTGTTCTGTACTCAAAACGACGTCGTTTTGGCCATTTGAGCCACTTTTGAGTCACAAAATTTGAGCTACGTAGCATTATCGTGTATATATATATATATATATATCTCTGCTTTTTTGCCTTTATATTGGTTTAGGGGTGGACAAATTCACCAAGGATTTTTTTTAAAGTTTCTTAAAGTGGTATATTGTATGGTTGAAATTTAATGTTAAAAAATTGATGTGACTTGTTATTAAATCTCAACCATACAATACACCACTCTAGGAAACTTTAGGAAAAAAAAACTCTAGAAGATCCTTACTCAGACAAATTATCATGGAATAAAAAAAACTAAACCAAACCGAAATTATTGGGTTGGTTTGGTTTTTTTTTAATACATTGGTTTGGTTTTGAGTGTTCAACTAGGATTGGATTAATTTTTGGTTTAGGTTCTATCTATATCAAACAAACCTGATAACCAAATCTATATATTTATTTATATTATAAGATTCAATCTATATCGGCATGTTTTTGCCTAATTGGTCTATTCTAATGGACTTGATTGCAACTAATCATTTCTCAATATTTATTTTGATTTTCAGTCGATATTGAGAAGCATAAGAAGAAGAATGGGAAGTGGAAGAAGAAAATGCTGGAAGGCAGAGTTGGAATTTACGGTACCTAATTTTATTTTATTAGCTGTGTTATTGGATTTGATTTATTTTAGTTGTATTTAAGCTTGAGTTGGATTTCACTATTCTATTCACAAGTGTTGGCTTGTATTAAATAATATTTATTTTATGTTTGTGTTAGATTTAAATATTAAAGACTTGTTTATTTTAATTATTTGTTATTGATTGATTCATTTTTTTGGATTGGATTGATTTGGTTAAAGTGCATGATTCATTTAAATATGTTCTAAATTTAATATCAACTCAAACCAAACTGACCCAATCACACCCCTCTATTGGTTCATATCCATAAAAAAAATTTAATACAAGACTAGAGTAATAAAAGTTGAGATTTTTTTATAATAGATCCCTTATAATAAGATTTTTTATAAGAAAACAAACAAGCCCATAAGTTTTATTGTGAGGAGGGTAACACGTGCAACAAACACAACCTAATTACTGAAAAGCTAATTTTATTATTTAAACTTTTAAATACTAACTTTTAATTTAAATTTTTATTTTTTTAAAGTAATTTTTGGAATACTCTCATCGAAATCCATTCAGTAAGATTTGGTATTGAATATGCAATATTGCAGATGTGATTTATTTTTTAACAATGAAATTTTTATTTTCTATAAATAGAGAAATTTCAAATTAAAAACTAAAAATCCAAAATTAAGTGCTACAAAATGAAAAACCATATTTCATTGTTTGTAGATTAGAAAGAAATTTCACTATCTATTGACATCAAATAAAAAATTTTAAACTAGAGGGATAAAATGCAAAATTAGTATTGGTTGCTAAAAAGAGTGCGATAAAAAGTGGCGTAACGCTCACCTATCAAGTAGAAACTTTGGTTATGTATGGTGTTTTTTTCTTTTTTGTTTTATTTCCTCCTATGCTCATTAATTTGTTTTTTACGAGCAATAAATATAAGTGATGGACAAATATATATATATATATATATATATATTAACAGTCCGCACATGCGATGCGTGTACAACTCGAAAAAAATAATATTATAAGAATAATAATAAAAAAGAATGCACATGCGTTGCTCAATTGGTAAGAACATTTATTATTAAATCCATGGTCCTGAGTTTGAGACTTATCCTCTCTATATAATTTTTACAAAAACTACAAATATAGGAATATTTTGAAAAAACTCAAAATATGAGACAAAAATGTCAACACCACCAACAGCCTTCCTTTTATGTATTAAAATAGATAGATAGATACTAGATAGCCATAAAGACTTGATAATCCGATATCCACGTTATGTACATACATCTATGTGTATATAGAGAGTATCATAAAAGAACTGAACAACTTTTTTATATTTTTTTAAATTACCAATCAGTGCACATGCAATGCATATGCCACATGACTCTTCTAACAAATAAATCAACACTCAATTGAACTTAGTAAATCGAAATTTCAAATGTAAAAACAATTTGTTACGTTTGAACATCTTGATTAGGGGGTCCTTGTTTCACATCATGAAAGGAGAATATTTATTTTTTTAAACTGCGTTTGAATCGTAGACTTGAGTAGGTATTTAGAAAAGACAAAATGAAAAATTCGGTGTGAAGTGTGCATGAAATATAGCTACATTTCCCAAATTTTCACCCAACCTTTCTCTCTCTCTCTTTCCCTTTTCAATTCCTTAATCCAAACACAACCTTAATATTTTAACAAGACTCAATGGAGACACCCATGTTCAACCCTTCCTGCTTAGAAACCTTTGGGGGCTAAATATCATCTTGCCAAATCTCAGGGAGGAATATGAAATTAACCTCAAGACTCCGTTAAGTTTGAACAATATATTAATCTAAACTTGTTGAAAATTTTCTTTTCTGGGAATTAACCTTCTAAAATATTACATATCTCCTGAATCTTCATGAGAATTTTTCATTAAAATTTTACAACTTAGTGATACAATCACATATGTGCTTCCTTTTCCAAATAAGAAAGGTAAAGCAGCTCCTGAAGGTAACACAATTGCAAGTAAATCAAAAATTATCCCAAAGTTATGATTCAGTCACACATTGAGACTAAAACGGACAAACTATCAATTCAGACAGGTTTCCCAAAATTCATGGTATAATTTCTAAATGATCAATGTATATATGTTGGGCAGCCATTTGCTAGTTACTTGTTACACCTGTGAGCAAATCGGTATAATCACAATGGAGATAAAACTTTGATCTTTACTTTGAGAACCCCATGTGCTTAATTTGCTTAATGTCAAACCTTGATTCATTTGAACACCATCTATTACTCAGAGTCAGAATCTGATAGTGGCATCTGGTAAGCATCGATTGGTTCTGTGTCAGTGATGGAAGGAGGACGATCTTGGTCTGACACCGCTCTCTTCTTGCGTCTCTGATTTGGTCTATCTTCATCATCCTGGAAATTTTCATATGGTGATTAAGCAAACATATAGAAAGCAGAGGGGGGAAAAATGCATAAAACAAATTTTGTTTAACGTACAAAATGCTTATCCAAGTCCCACTGCAGTGAATTGGGCAGTTATGTATGCATAGCAAAATTAAGATCACTGATGTTTATGTTGGCTAGTTGTAATTATGTATTAAAATAGGAATTAATATTGGAGATTGATGTCAACTGTAAATTGTATTTACTAGGTACAAATAAAAAGTCGAGAATAAATTTGAGCTGTGTTTCTTTCGTTTCTATGAGATTTGTATATTTGAGGGGTTCTATTTCAGTTGAGTGTGAGGTTCTTCCCCAATGGGTGTGAGTTTCTTCCTCAATGGAAGTGAGTTTCTTACAGGTTTCTTCCTTGGGAGTGGAGAATTCGCATTTCTAAGTAAGAAACGTCAACCATGAAGGAATTTTTTGCTACTAAGAGTGAAAAGCTCGATAACTTAAGCTAAAAATGCCGATTTACCTTTGATGAGGGCAAGCTTCCATCTCTACAATGAAATTTTTTGACCCGTTAAGGAGAAAAGTATTTACATCAAATTTAATTTTTAATATTTTGTTACTATTTTAATATAAAATTCAAAATTCTAATGCATCAACGCCTTGAGGCTTCCACCTCTCTCCTCACGAGGGAATATGTCTCACGTTACCTTGGAGCAGAGAATTGCATTTCTGAGTAAGAAACGTCAACCAAGAAGGAATTTTTTGCTACTAAGAGTGAAAAGCTCGATAACTTAAGCTAAAAATGCCGATTTACCTTTGATGAGGGCAAGCTTCCATCTCTACAATGAATTTTTTTGACACGTTAAGGAGAAAAGTATTTACAACAAATTTAATTTTTAATATTTTGTTACTATTTTAATATAAAATTCAAAATTCTAATGCATCAACGCCTTGAGGCTCACACCTCTCTCCTCATGAGGGAATATGTCTCACGTTACGCATTTGCTTTTAAAAACTTTGGAACAATCATACAAGAATGATTCGTGGTGAGGGAGAGATAAAAATCCTTCATTTTTTTATAAAAATCCTTCTTTATGTTTTTTTTAGTGTCTTTCTTAGTGTCTGAGTTTGGGGTGGGGTGTTGCTTTTTCAATGAGAATTACAAGTCTACAAATTGCAAAGCTGGAAAATGTGAATTGTTGAATAAGAAGATTCAGAGATATGCTCAAAGCTATCACTAAGTACAATAATCTGTTAGGGGCAGAAATAAATTAACAATGAATAGGCAATAACATGGCTGTCAAGAAAATAAAATAAAATAAAATAAAATAAAATAAAATAAAATAAAATAAAATAACAAAAAAAAAACAAAAAAGGCTACTACCCACATGGTATATGAGACTGCATTTGAACTAAATGAAGGGAAATTTCGAAGAATATGTTGGGAATGGGATTTATACCACATCCCACCAATGTGAACGGAAGGACACAATGCACAAACCAAAGAGAAAAACAATTAGACACAGATTTTTGTGGTTTGGCAACAATTGCCAACATCCATGGGAGAGAGATTCAACTATGAATAAAAAATGGATAATACATGTGAGATAGTCAACACGCTCAAAACCCATATCACTACTAGAACCCCATGCTCAAGAGTAGTTGAGCCATTGATCACTCTAATGCCTTCACGGTATTTTTTGTCACCCCTTACATCGCTATTTTATCCTTCTCTTAATCTCACCAAAACATAGTCTCCATGACTATTTATAATAGTCTATCCACAAAAAACCTAGTTCCATAAAATTAGGTAACCGAAACCTACACATTGGGTTTCTCTATAGATTTCGGACTCTACTATCCTAACGCCAATACATGCTTAAACTAACCTAACAAATGTATGAGACCCACATATATCACATTGGTGGACTAGTCTTAACAGAATATTAATAGAAGTTACTAAATCAATCAAGTAAAATATAATGCAGCCAAGACATCGCACATATAAAAAATAATTAGAAGGAAAATATTGATGCTAAAAAGTAGAAAAGGGAAATAAAAGAAAGGACTAATCATGAGTCAGAAAAATATCAATGAAATCACATTGGATTGGAGATGAAGGTAATAGCTGGAAAAAAAAAAAAAAGACAATAACAATGCTCCCAGGAGCACAATATGCCATGACTTACTTTTTTGCTCGGTTGAGTTTGATTATTTGATTGACTTGGATGAGTTGATTGGCTCCTTCGCAACCAGATGCTACCGAAAGACAGCAATGCTCCTAACAGCAAGACTGGGCCAATCCTTGGATCTCCTAGGCGATTGTGGATTCCATTCATGATGCTGCCAATTCTCTGTTTCATTCCTGTCCCTTTGGATAGAATATTTTTGGCACCTACTGACCAAATAGGATCTGCATCTTCGGGAACAAGTGCAGGAGTTTTTGCTCTCTGCAATGAGACAAACAGAAAAGGTTTGAGCACACAACATCTTGTATGAAAGAGATGCAACTCTAAGCTCCAGAGTGTATACATCCTTAAAAAAACCACAAAGTTCAATGAGTATCAATCCAAGAAGCACGGACACTTCTAAGAACGTAACATGCCGTGTCTGACACTCATCAGATACCTATGTATCAAGGGTGCGGGTATGGATACTTGTACGGGTACGCTGATACGGCCAAAACCTAAAAAGAAATAGGATATGGGGTACAGCTGTGGTATATCAACAAATTTTTTTATTTTTCATAGTTTATTGTTTGAGACTCAACCTACCAATCAAAGTTCAATACCAAAACTAAAAGGAAAATTACAAAACCAAAAGAGAAATCACAGTTCAACAATACTAACATCAAAGCAAAGTCCATATGCTATTTTAATGCCATTAGATAGGAGAAATTACAAAACAAAATTTCATTCCAAAAGCCAACTAAGAAAAATTTGGAAACTTTAAACATCAATTTTCACTTTCATCAACTTTATCATTGAATAGCACATCTTTCATCTTTGACATTTCAAGTAAAAGAATTGCAATTTCAAGTAAATCATAACTCACTAATAAATTAAATGTATCACCACCAATGTCCCATAGCTTGGTGTACTCCCGATGTACCCATCATGTACCTACAAAGTACCCACCTGCCAAAAAATGTATAAAAAGTACTTGGTACGTATTTCAAGTACCCGATACGCATGCAATCCTAACGGTACACGTACCAATACCCTGTAAGTACCCGATATGAGTATGGTAATATTTTCGGAGTACCTATGCTTCATAGCCGGACACTTTCCAACACTTGGACATACATGAAACATATTACGAGTTTGAATAAATAACTTGGAATCCAATGATACAACAAAAATTAAATAAATTTATACCTATTCTCCTCCTTTATACTTCTAAAATGAATATATTATACTTAAATATTTATATATATGGCATAATAATTATTTATCCTTATATATGACATATATTTGATAAATACATAAATAAATTATATATTTTGCAGAAGTCCCCAACGTGTTGTGTCCTACATTTTTTGAAAATTTACATGTCGGTGTGTCAATGTCGTGTCACATGTTCGTGCTTCTTAGGTATCAATAATGAAGTGAAGGTAATTAAACCCCTCAGCAAAATACACAAATGAATCCATTCAAGCACCAAAAGGAAGCTTAATTCTAAAAAAAGTTTGTCTATGTTAAACTTACAAAAAAGGGGAGCTCCCCAGAGTCACCATCTTCGATTATTTGAGAGATCCACTTGATGATCTGCCAACCAAATAAAAAAGAAACAACTCAATGTGAAAAGGTGCACTAAAGCACAAAGAATGTTGCATTTGCATTAACTGCTCAATTCAGAGTGAAATATATCTCAATAATTAAAACATGTAGTAAAATCCATCTCACAACAGATAGAAGGCCAAACCTTTGAACTTTCTTCGGAACCATTGTACCTCGCAACAAGTTGTGATGCAGGATCCACATCATCATTCAGAAATGCCTCCAACATGTTTTTTGGCTTTTTTTCCTCATTTTTAATACTATCTTCTGTAGCATTCCTTTTGTAACGTACAATAATTAACTGTGGTACATCTGTTATATCCCTCCTAGGTCCACATGTATCATAGCTGTTCTCCGTTTGAGTGTGGAAAAAACAATATCGCTGGAGAAGAAGAGAAATTTAGTGACTAATACAGTTGCAAAAGATCATTTGTTAAATGTTTCAGTGTAAAATAGTCCATCATGATCATTATTAATTAAAATATTATAATCCATAATTAGTAAGCACACATACTTCTACATAAAACAAATTAAAAAAAAAAAAAACCCTACAAATGGTGCTAGGAATAACAGCGGAGAGATGGAAAGATCATTCCTTCAACTGAATAAAGCAGAAGCAAACAACCTCTAATCATATGTACAATGCTGCTGCAATGACATCTTACACAATTATTATTGGAGTTTATGAATAATTTTCACCTTTGCAATATAATACTACATGCCTCATATACGCAACCTGGTGAACTTAGTTCAATTTTTACTATATAACACCTTCTGTGAGAGGAATCACATTCTGTTTCCTACACTAAATAGCTTGACCTACATAATAGCATTATTTCTATAGCTGGAGAGGAATCACATTCTCTGTACATACAGCTATCACAGAAATTCATTCTATGTACTTCCTACACTCCTTTGTATTTCATTCTTTGAGATGAATCACATTTCCCTGTACATATAGCTAGATCCACGAAACAGAATCAATCAACAAGAGTACAAAAATTTGGGAAAGATAACCTCCAAAGTTTTTAAAATGACAAGAATCATAATGAAAAACTTTCACCTTCTTTGGTTTAATTTATGAATTGCTTTTGAGTTTTTTTGTTTTTCATTTTTTTTTTTTTAACTTTTTAAATGCACCTAATCTAGATGGACTTAAAATATAAAATATTCGTAAAAAGATCTGAAATTGTCTTTAACTTTTTTCATCTCTTTTTCAAATGTTTTAGATTTTAAGTGCGTCTAATTTGGCGAATCTAAAAAAAAAACTAAAATATGAAAAAAAAAATCACTAAAGAAACAAAACAATTTTGAGTTTCAAAAGTTGGTTTTGAACTGAAATAGGATAACAATGAATGATGAATACTTTTAATTGGCCATGTCTCACATGGAGAACATAATCTAATACACCAAAACAATTGAGGTGTACATGCTTTGCACTAGACAGGCCATGGCTAAATATGTATATACCAAAGCTTTTAAATGTGACTGCGTAAGTCTCAAGGCATCAACACATAAGCATTTCAAATTTCAAATTTTTATATTTAGTGAGAAAAAATTATTTAAAATTAAATTAAAAAACAACGCCCAATTAGTACACATTAATTTTAATTTTATTTAAAATTAAATATAAATGTATAAATACTTTTCTCAAGGCGTTGAACATTTCATTACAGAATAGGAAACTTGCCCTTATCGAAGATGTGTTAGAATAGGAAAGAATGTTCGTTATATTGTATTCTTTCTATATTTATTTTTCCATTTATTGATGTAACGGGCTGGCCCATAATTTATGCCTTATGGCACTCCTGTAATTACTCAGTATTATCAATATAAAAGGGAATGTCGTCTAACCTATTCCCTATCACTTTCTCTTCTCTAAAAATCTTCATGGTATCAGAGCCAAACAGGCCCTAGCCATTCTCTTCTACCACTCTAGCAGCCTCTCTCTTCTCCGGCAGCCACCGAGCCACCGAAACCTAGCACCCAGCCTCTCTTACTCACCCAGGTCTCTCAAAACCCTCGACCCAGGTCTCGGCAGACCCCCTCTCATTTTCTAGAGGTTTGTCGAGAGCCCTCCCTGGCTCTTTAGGCTGTGTCGCAGGTCCTCTTGGCTCCAAGGATCTTGTTGGCACCCTTCCAGGGCTCTTCACCTTCAACGATAGTCCCTCTGGCTGTCTAGCTCTTCTATGACAGTCCCCTGGTCTTCTGTCTCTGTCGGCCAGTCTCTGGGTCTGCTCGTTCTACGTTTTAAACTCTCTGTTTTCTGCTTTAACCTATAAAAAAAAAAATGCAGTGACAAAAAAAAAAAAAAAATTATGAGTTCTTAATTATTTTTTATGCTGTCACAGTGGTAGTTGTGTCTTTCCTTCCACTTTTATCTTCCGGATTTGTGAATAGCCTTGTTTTTTTTTTTTTTTTTGAGAGTTAAATAGTAGAGTATCCATGGCAGATTCCCTTAGTGAATCCACTACTTCTCAGCCACCTCAGGGCGAGAGTTCCATTATACCTCCTACTATGACTGATAACTTCAACCCTAGCCTTAAAATCACCACTTCTCTATTCAATGGTCAGAACTATCTAGCGCAGTCGCAAAGTTTGACTATTTTTTTGAAGAGCAAAGGGAAGATGGGGTATGTTGATAGCAGGATATCGGCACCAACCACCACAGACTCGAGTTATGATCAGTGGGTGATCACCAACTCCCTTATTATGGGTTGGTTGATCTATTTTATGGTTCCAAAGATTGGCGAGGGCTATCTCTCTATGGACACTGCCCAGGATATTTGAGAGGCCATGGCTACCACTTACTCCCGGAAGGGGAACTTTTCCCAAGCTTTCGAGTTACGTCACTCCATTGAAAGGTCAGTACAAGGTGAGATGACTATTCTCCAGTATTATACCTTTCTTAGCAATGGATGGAAGAGGCTTGATCATCTTCATGATTACAAGCCTGTCTATCTCACAGATTCTGCTGGTTACCTGAAGTTTGTGGCACAAGAGCGGATCTTCAAGTTCTTAGAAGGCCTAAATGTGGAGTATGACCCTGTTCGGAGCCGTGTCCTTGGCATGGATGTATTTCCTTCTCTCTAGGAAGCCTTTGCTTTAGTACAGAATGAAGAGAGTCGCCGCTCTGCGATGCTTCTTTTTACCACCACTGATCGTTCTGCTTTGGTTTCTGCACCTTCCCGCACTAGCGAGCGTGTGTCCCATGGTTCTCATCTTTCTTCTGAGAAGGATAATCTTTTCTGTGACTACTATCGTCGCCCTCGACATACCCAAGAGACTTGTTGGAAGCTGCATGGGACTCCCGGTGGTCGCAGAGACCGTCCTGGTACTTGCGAGGGTAGATTTGGCCTATCTAGAGGCCGAGGGGCCAATGCTCGAGCTCATCTTTCAGACACGGTTGAGCCACCACCTTCATCTCCCGTTGTCTCACTGGCTGCTGATGTTTCGGGGTTATCTGCCTCGGATTTTGATATCGCTCTTCGCCACTTGCTAGACCGTCGCTCTTCCACTTCTGCCACAGGAGCACCCTCTTCTTCCTTTGCCAACTCAGGTAACTTGGCTTCCTCTCCATATGCATTGCTATCTCATACCACTGTGCCATAGATAATTGATTTTGGTGCTTCTAAGCATATGTCTGGTTCCTCTCATTTATTCTCCGAATATAACCCCTGTTCACGTCAAAAAAAAGTACGTATTGCTGATGGTACTATGTCGTCTGTATCTAGGAAAGGTTTAATTCATGTCACACCTTCCCTTCCTTTATCCCTTGTTCTCCATGTTCCTAATTTTAGTGTTAATCTTTTATCTTTGAGTCGTATTACTCGTGATTTGAATTGTAACGTGACGTTTTTTTCCTGATCGTTATCTCTTCTAGGACCTTATCACGAGGAAGGAGATTGGCAGTGGTAGAGCGGAACATGGTCTCTACATTCTCGACCAGACAGACAGGCTGGCTCACTCCTCTGTTCAGTTACCATCCACCAAGGAAGACCTCTGGTTGTGGTATCGTCGTTTAGGACATCCCTCTTTTTTACTACTTAAGCATTTATTTCCTTTTGGGTTTGAGAAGAATAGTGTGTCTGATTTTCAATGTGAGTCTTGTCAACTTGGGAAACAACATCGAGCTTCTTTTGCTCCCTCTATTAATAAAAGTTCAGTTCCATTTACTTTGATTCATTCTAATGTTTGGGGTCCCTCACGTTTTATGTCTTTAAAAGGTCAAAACTGATTCGTTACTTTCATTGATGACTGTTCTAGGGCCACTTGGGTCTATCTGCTGAAAAATAAAAATGACGTGTTTTCTATGTTTCAAACCTTCCATAAAATGATTTGCACTCAGTTTGGGACGGTTGTCAAAATTTTGCGTTCTGATAATGGGGGAGAATATCTCGACTCTAGTCTTGCCAGTTATTTTGTTACTCGTGGCATTATTCATCAAACTTCATACACCAATACCCCTCAACAAAATGGGGTTGCCGAAACGAAATATCATCACCACCTTGATGTGGCCCGTTGTCTATCTTTTGAAATGCGTGCTCATAGATCTTATTGAGGAGAGGCAGTTCTCACTGCCACTTATTTGATTAATTGTCTTCCTACCCATGTCCTTCACAAGCAAACACCTCTCCAAGTTCTGTTCGGGTCCACCTCTTCTGGGTTCTCCCTTGCTCCTAAGACCTTTGGTTGTGTTTGTTTTGTCCATAACCATTCCCCTACTTGTGGTAAATTGGATCCTCGGTCTCTTCGGTGTGTTTTCCTAGGTTACTCTGCCACACAAAAGGGTTATAAGTGTTATGATCCTCCCACTCGCAAATGGTTTGTCTCCATGGACGTCACCTTTTTCGAGTCTCAGTCTTACTTTCTCCCCTCTCCAATGTCCTAGTCATCCCTTTAGGGGACGCCTTGGTGTGAAGAGATTCATGTTCCACCTCTGCCAGTGGTTGCATAGATAGAGGATGATAAGCCCGTAGCAGTTGTTGATGGAGGCAAAGTTTATGTCAGGGACAAGGACAGACAACAACTCACCTGGATACAAGAACCTATTTTCCCTCCTCTCCTGCCAACTGCTTCCTCGGATGAGTGTCCAGAGTCACTCCCCTCTCCTGAGAGTCTAGGTAATTCTGATCCTAGTGCTCTCATTCCTGAGCTTTCAGATCTTGATGTTCTCATTGCTAATAGAAAGGGGTTGGGTCATGTACTCAGCATCCTATTACAAATCATGTCTCTTATTCTAATCTGTCTCCCTCATATAAAGCCTTTTTGTCTAAGATTTCTTCTGTGAGTCTACCTCACAGTTTTTAGGAGGCTCTCACCATTCCTGAATGGAAACATGCCATAATGGAAGAGATGAGAGCTCTCAGCAAGAATGGCACTTGAGAGTTAGTGGAGTTACCTAGAGGCAAAAATCAAGTTGGATGTAAGTGGGTGTACACTACAAAACACAAAGTAGATGGTTCCATAGAATGGTACAAAGCAAGACTAGTTGCTAAGGGTTTTACTCAGACTTATGGGGTAGATTACCAAGAGACATTTGCACTAGTTACAAACATGAACTCTGTAAGAATTCTACTGTCTCTTGCTGCAAATCTGAATTGGCTACTTCATCAGTTTGATGTGAAGAGTGCCTTCCTTCATGGAAACCTAAAAGAAGAGGTTTATATGGATATTCCTCCTGATTTTAAAGATGCTAGGTCCAAAGGTAAAGTGTGCAGGCTCTGAAAGTCACTCTATAGGATAAAGCAATCCCCTAGAACTTGGTTTGAAAGGTTTGCTCAAGCTATGCTGAGATATGGGTTCAAGCAAAGTCAGGCTGATCACACCTTATTTGTGAAACACTCCTCACTTGGTAAGACCACAATTCTTATTGTCTATGTTGATGATATTGTTTTGACAGGAGATGATGTTGAGGAGATTCCTTGGTTGAAGGAATACTTAGCCAATGAGTTTGAAATCAAAGACTTAAGCAATTTGAAGTATTTTTTGGGCCGGTCCAAGGATGGCATCTTCATATGCCAGAGGAAGCATGTACTTGACTTGCTCAAGGAAACTGGAATGCTTGGAGGTAGACCATATGATACACCTCTAGAACCAGGTTAGAAACTAAGTGAGGATCAAGGGGGAGATCCAGTGGACAAGGGGATATATCAGAGGTTAGTGGGTCAGCTCATATACTTATCCCACTCCCGTCTAGACATTGCCATTGCAATGAGCATGGTTTGCCAGTTTATGCATGCTCCTAGAAATTCCCACTTAGGCAATTATGAGAATCCTGAGACACTTGAAGGCTTCTCCTGGAAAGGGTCTCCGTTTCTCAAAACATGGACATCTCAGTGTGGAGGCATTCACTGATGCGGATTGGGCTGGATCCGTTACTGACAAACGATCAACTTCTGAATATTGCACATTTGTTGGAGGCAACCTAATCACGTGGCGAAGTAAGAAACAGAATGTGGTTGCTAGATCTAGTGCTGAGGTAGAATTCAAGGCTATGGCTCAGGGTGTATGTGAGTTGCTATAGATTAGACTATTATTGGGAGACTTGGGGATCCATAAGACCGATTCCACGAGATTGTATTGTGACGACAAAGCCGCAATCAACATAGCTCATAATCCAGTTCAACATGACAAGACTAAGCGTGTGGAGATTGATAGGCACTTCATTAAGGAAAAACTCACTAGTGGCACCATATGTATTCCATTTGTGAAGATTGGGGACCAACTGGCAAATGTTCTCACCAAGGGCATAGCAAGCAAACCATTTCATGACATTCTCACCAAGCTGGGTATGAGAAATATCTTCGCACCAACTTGAGGGAGAGTGTTAGAATAGGAAAGAATATTCGTTATATTGTATTCTTTCTATATTTATTTTTCCCTTTATTGATGTAATGGGCTGGCCCATAATTTATGCCTTCTGGCACTCATGTAATTACTCAGTATTATCAATATAAAAGGGAATGCGGTCTAACCTATTCTCTATCACTTTCTCTTCTCTAAAAATCTTCAAGATGAACCTGACATTCTTAGTTTCAGTTATTGAACTTCTTACTTGAGTCTTTGCTTTATATTTTTTCTTGATTTTTTCCATGGAATATGATGGTTACAAAAGAGATTCTTATTTTTTATGTTTAAATTTAAACTATGTATTAGACCATCAAAAAAAATAAAATAAAACTATGTATTATAATAAGCTTAACAACAACCCCAGTCAAGCTCTCCATATATGTACTGTTACATGGGACTCAAGTATGAGTACCAGGTGCAGGTGAGTATCCAAGCATCAGACCTTCATAAATTTAAATCTTGGGACATGTATCCAAAATTGAATATGAGTACTAGGACACGTCATATGCACATATATTATATTTTATATAATATTCTCGGATAAGATGTTGTAAATTCTGTAAAAATATACTAGAAATTAAATAAGATATAGGAAAATTTTGAAATTTCTATATATAATTCATGTGAGCGGCTAAAAATATTACTTTACTAACAAATGTGAGTTTCTTCTTCTTTTTCATGTATTGTTACAAGTTAAAGGATCTGAGGCCCCGTTTGTTTTCAGAGGTAGAATGGAGGGGATTCATAGTGAAGGAATTAATAGTGAGGGGATTGTTAGTAAGGGGATTGATAGTGAGGGGATTAGGTAAAATTGTGTTTGTTTTGATGATAGTTGTGAGTGTAAGAATTATTAAATTATTTTCATATAAAATAATAAAACAAATAAAAATATATAAAAAGTTAAACATTAATGTTTAAAAAAAAATTCCCAATATGTAAAAAATAAAAAAAATAAAAAAATTTCTAATCCCCTCACTATTTTTCTAATACCACCTCCACCTCCACCTCCACCTCCTCTATCCCAATCCCCCTTCCAACCTCCATCTTAATTCCCTCCTCCATCCTAATCCCCTCCCCAACTCCACAAACAAACACAACACTAAATAACCCCACTTCCATCCTAATCCCCTCCCATCTATTACACCCCAAAACAAACGGGGCCTGAGTGCATAAATTAGGTACGAGTGTCGGACACATATCCCACACCCTTACCCATGTCCTATCTGGTGGACACGGGTACTGTAGGGGAAATAGAAGAGTCCATGTAACACAATTCCTCATATTTATGTGCAAAAGGAGTACAAGGTGCCCATGAGTTGCATGCCTCAAACTATGATGTGCAAGTCTTTGGAGAGTTTCACCAAAAAATAAAAAAGACTCAATGCATTCTACCTTAGCCTCACCTCGAAGCGAGCCTCAATACATCTTTTAAATACAAAATATATTTGTATAAACATGACATTGTAGGATTTGTGGCTCAAATCGTACATTCACTTTCTGAGATTAATAACACATATTTTGAAAGATTATTAGTAAGTACTTGGAAAGGAAAAAAAAAATTAAAGAAAGGAAAAGAACAGCCATAAAAATGAGAATTACATCCTAAAATTTCAATCAGTGACAGGCCTCTATAATCTTCTCAAAAAACCATATTCAGATGTCAAAAGGTTTATGAATGCAATCAGATTCTTGGACTTTTCCAAAAGTTTCAGGTAGAAATTCTCAGCTGCTTACAGCACGAGAGTAGAGCGCATAAGGAAGTTGTGACGATGTTTTTTGATACCCTGCATTTTCAGGGCCAAAGGTCACATGTGGTTTTAGTATTTAATGTTTCAGAATTTATCCTGCTATTAGATTGAATGATTTGTAATGTAGATAATTTCACATCATTTTATGGCAGTATAACACTGTCAGAATTTTTAACAGCAATAATCACTGACCACCTTTTCCAACTTAGGCCACCATTTAGATTAAGATACTGGCACTTTGGCAAAAATCTTCCAATACCAATAGTGATCCCAACTAAGTTCAACAAAGAGATTAAAATTTCAGAATAAATTGCTACCTACCAAGTACCATACAGCATCACATACATGACCCTCAAATTAATTAATCCATTCACTACTACAAATGTGAATTGAACTAGAACTAAACTTGGAAAACATTGACATGCCAGACAAACAAAAGGCGACACTTACTTGCTGTGCTTCCCCATCAAGCCAGCTAAATGTCAACCGCTTTTCCTTCAGTGCAACAGCCGCTAGCGACGATGGCTGATCTTTATCAACTGTGGACAGTGCTTCTTGGATCCTGCGCACAGTCTTTATCATAGTAATGTACTCCATTTAGTAAACTAGAAGAATATAATAGCATTTGGGCATGCATACATGAATCTTTCTGTTGTATTCAATGTCAAATTTTGAATGAGTACACTTTCTGTGTCATAACTTCGAATGAACATCATGAATCTTTCCCAACGAAGTAGCTAAATCATTTCTAGGAAATAACTACCAAGTAGGGATTTAATTTAACATAACAAGCAGGGCAAACAAACTCACTGCACGCATTTTGTTGAGTTCTGGGCTTGATCTTCCTGCTAGAATAACACAATACCAAATCGCCGTTTCATTTCCAGCACGAGAATAGCCGCGGGCATCACAACCCAGCTCCACGGATGTCACACTTCTCAATTGTGGAAGCTCTAAAAATAAGGAACAGAGAATAAACCAATGTATTACAGTTAGTTTCACAAAATCCTAGAATGTATAATCGGGTTTGTGTTATACATGTATATATAAATATGTCCCAATAGGTATGTATTATAGGCATAGGAATATAGACATAGTAATATCTTCATGTAACTTCAAAGCTATATTACATGCACTTAGACATGGGTATCAGGTGCCTGCATGTGCTGAACTATCAAGTTCATTAAACCTTTTATGTCCAAAGACACCAAAACACAACTAGATTCATATACTGTCAAGGGGATGCCACCCATGTTTTACACTATAAGAACCAAAACAATAAAAAACAACTCTTATACATCAATATATTCAAAATTCTCAACAAAATTCAAAAAAGGATTCAATGAAGGCTCAACGCCCCTCAAGATCCAATTGTAAAAGATGGTTGGAATTCTACTATTTAAAACAAAAATGGAAGTCTTAAGACTCTTAACACCATCAAAACTTCTTCTATTAAGCTCCATCCAGATGCTCCAAAATAAAATGGGACATCCTAGCTACCAATCACCTCTTTTTTCGTTTTTTAACTCTGGCTACCCTTTAAGAAAGCAAAAGGTCCCAAACATTTGAAAAGAAGACCCAACCTACATCAAACAAGACCAAAAATAAGGCCTAAATGTCCCAAAAGATGTGATCCCTCTCCCTACTCACATATCACTAAGAACAACCCCTCTATTAGTTGCTATCTACCTCGAGCTAGACCAGCCAGCTCCAACTTCTCACCACAGCAAAGATGTCACCAAAACTGAATTCTCAAACACAAACCTCAGATGATAGTGAAAAACATACCAACCTTCCTAATACCCTGTAAAAGGCCTATACCGATGCACAAAAACCTCCAAAGACATCCAATCACCCCACCTACACCCATATTTT